CCCTCTCGACATTTTGCCACTTTGATGTTCCTCCTCCTCTCTGTGAAGTCCGAAGTCAGCTAAAGAGCTAATGATACAATCAAAACGCCTGCATTTGAAATAAATAAATAAATACTCTAAATCAATTCATTCAAGTTTGAATCGCGGAATCAATCTTACGTTTGTATCTTGTAGCTAATGGTAAACCAATAAGATTCGACTTAATCCTTGAAATCTTTTGTCAAAATGTCCTATAACACAATTTTCCCCGAATTTACCAAACAAGAAACAGTAGATATGTCATAGAAGGCATTTTCGCACATCCTTAACCATTAAGTGCAGCCAGTGTTATTCAAAGTTACATAAACTCGATAGCTGATTGGTTAAGGGATTTCTGCACGCACAGCGACACAGAATGTTTTATGACATGAGATTTCTTTGAGCAGCCCTGGTAGCGTGTGCGAACCACAACAGCGTAATTTAATAAAATTTAAAGATATCATTAACAACGTTTTGAACTCTAGCTTGCTCGTTCATTTTTATTTAATGATAAAATTGATGTTTAAAATATGACTTATAAGGGTGCTAAAATACACATTGCAATTTACTAAATTGTAATATAATTATGATGCGCCAACATTATCGGCGAATTATCAAGTATGGATCGGACAGTTTGGTGGAAGGATACATCATCCATTATACTTCAATCTTGTTGGCCAACCACGTCGCTTGATTAATTTTACTGACCTGACAAGAAAGTATGTTGTTCTACTATTAATTACGTAAACCTAGTGATAGTCTGATTTTCTGAACGTTCGCTTGCTTCGATGTATTCGTTAGATACGCATTTTGAACAGCTTGAATTGCATACTTTGCGAATTCATTTCTCGAAGTTTCGAACATAAAGCTCTACTTCCTCAATGTTTGCATTTCAATATACACCGATAAGGATGAACTAAACTTCAGCAATCCTTTCTGGAAAAATCTCCTAGTATGAAATTAATTCCGAAATTAGCCAATCCTCCACAACACTATCAAGGAAACAGCGGTTATAGTGCGAAGAGCGTTTTTGTGTGTCATTGACAGGGAGCTTGGTTATTAAACTGTAATTAAGGCTGCACTGAAAGTGCAGTGACTATTGATTGTTGATTGGATGAGAGGTCCCACCCCCTCACAACAGAACTTGTTCCTTAATGCCATCAGCAGCACAGATGCACATTCAAGACTGTTCGAGAGTGCAAGCGATTTCCTGGTTCAGTCATATTGGCGTTGGGCTCTCCACAAGATAACCCACTTTAGTTACCTTTAAAAGCATTTTTAATAAACCTAACCTTTTAACATCCTTAGGATCATACGGCCATCTTGCAAAATAAGCCCTATTGGTACTACTCTCGTAATAGAAGGCGCTATATCCGTTTGACGAATCTTCAATACATGTCTATAGTCTTCGCCTGATACCACCACAAATGATCATATCGACGGAATCAGTTTGCTATTGAGACACGCTTTAATGTGATTGGGTGTATTTTTCACAAAAATAAATCCTGCGTTAAAGGGTTAAATGAGATGAAAATAATTTTAAAATGCCAGTTGTCACTGTGATCCCTGGTTCGGCCACGTTACCGTTGTGCGCGCTATAAAACCACTTAAAACCTTATTTTTATCCAAAGTAAATTTCTTATAATAATTCTCAGGCACATTTGAAAAGATTCTTCCAATGCTCACTCATTCGTGAAAGGTTTGACCCTTAGCTTCTGACCTACCGGAGAGGCACAACAACTAATGCGCCGATACACCGTTCCCATCAATCTTAGCTCTTGTCTGATAATAATAATAATAATAATAGTCTTTCTCTTTGTGTTTTAATTAATTGTCTGATATATTATTTTCTGAAACTAATTTAAATGATTGGCTAACTCTATCGCTAGAGTCAACTCAAAATATGTAGCGGGTTGCCACACTAATAAAGCCTGACTAACTCAGAAATCTCTGTGCCAGATTCACCTACATCTAGCTAGACTCCCGGAACTAGCTAAGCTATAGCCCAGCTATAGAGGAAACTGATGTACAGCACGGAATGCGTTAATTCAACATTTTAGGTTAAACGAACGGAGGCATCTGATTGGCCACTGGTAGTACGGTTGTCTGCACACGGCGTTGTGCGGCCGCACCTCCCAATCCTGGCGTGCGTGCATCTTAAGATTTTTGCGATCTCTTCTGACTATTCTTCTTCAATGCTTTATTAAATTGCCTTTAGACATATTATTTTTCCATACTGTCGGGCAAATAGCGCCAAATGCATGAATTGGTTTCTTCAAAAGTCAAGCGTTTTTCTGGGCCCTGCTAACCCCATTTAATCGACTTATTTGGAAAGTTTTAATCGGAGTAACATACGAGATCTCTGGCTCTCTATCGTGAAACCTATTTGTTGTTGTTTTTCTCGAATCTTCTTCAATTGTCTTCTCCGTTTCCGTAAAAAGGTGGTATTTGGGCTAATTGAAAATCCATTTCAGACTTCGTGACTTCTTCTTCTAAAATGTCTATCAACGCATGCCCATACATACTCTCGTTAGATTTATCATCTCTGTATCTGTTCACAAATAGTACATTGGCCATATTTCTAGCCTAATATTGCAAAAATAAGTTTCAACATCTGGATTATACTCGCGCCTGTGTTGCCTTGACTACACTATGCTTGCATGCTACTTCGGAGGTAGAATTCAATAAATTGTTAAGAAGGCACAAATACACTGGCTGAAGCAGTTTACGACCAATTTGAAGTTTCCATGACACTTTCGATCAACAATAACCTGTTGAAGATTAACATTTGGATTTAGATCATGATCGTTACCACGCTATAACCACAATTTTCAAAAAATGAAAGTGAACCCTTATTGACAATATTTAGAGGCTTGGTGATTAATTTTACTTCGCCGTTTATCAATTACAACCGTTACACAACTGATGTTAAAGTAAATTTTCACTTTCAGCGCCCTAACTTTGTGTGGACTCCTTATTAAGGGATTTCATTGGTCCTTAGTTCATGTTGAATTGCGTTAGTCTAAATCTACAATTACCTAATTAAAGCTCTTTTTGATGTTGTAAGTACTATGGGGTTTCAATATGCGTATATTCTTTGCTTCGAGCTACTACATCTCCTAATACTTACTATTATTTATTATTATTGTTATTAATTGATTATTCAAAATGTGTGACTTTAAGTATTGCTTCACTGAACTAACTTAAACAGTCAAGTGAAGGAAAGATGACAAAATCTGAAGTGCAATCTCTCTATGCAATCATATATTCACAGCTACACTTCTTGCCCCGTAGTTAATATGATTTTTACCATTCAATATTCTTCTTCCACTCGGTATGCAATTTATTTAAAAATGACAAAGGATAAACGAAATAAAATGATTTAGACGGAATAGTATGAATCAGTTTGAATTGTATTAGTCCAGCACTATTTTTTCGAACTCCAATAATCTTGTCCGTGAAAAATATCTGTCCATAAAAATATTTTTAAGCATCAAAATTTATGGCATAATTAATTTCTGCTATTAATATCAAGATTCGAGTCAAACCTATAGTCTCCCCCCCCCCATCCGATTTACTAAATGTTGGGGAGCAATTTATCGGTGATTTCCATTTCTGCCAAAATTCTCTAAACATCAATCAGTCGTGAGATGTGGAAATACCTAATCGATTTATTCTTCTTTTGATATTTGTTTTGAATTTATTTCATTAATTTATATTATATAATTTGTATGGCCTTGAAAATTTAAGGTAGCAAATCAAAGTTACTCATTTAATGTCGCAATTCAATGTCATTTTCAGTTTCAACTTTGCTCTTTTGGTTAGTTTACCCAATGGTTTAAAAATTAATAATCCGTACTCTTATTCAGGGAAGAACGGTAGTAATTTTTTAATTACATCAATTACTCTCTGCTGAGATCAATTTACCAATGCCAACTTAGGCGTCCTGGAGATAAGCCAATAAAACCTGGAAATACGGAGTCTTTACCACGGCAGTCAGAAATGAGGACCCATCTTGATGAGTCCGTTGTAAGTCCCATTGTGATGGTTGTGAAGCCGGCAGGCTTTCCAACTACTCTAACCCAAGCTTGTTTAAATGTTAGTCACTAAATAACATGTATGAGGTAAATTGCATTCATGACTATGGCGTCTAAACTGAGCCTATCAATCACTTCTCAATTATAGGCCTTGTTCGCATTGTTTCTTGACCTGACTACGACATTCTCGGAATAACTCCCTCCCCTCATGGCCCACCACAAATAATTGTCGCGATAGGATAAAGTAAAATATCTCTCAAGCTGCTCGTCACCGCTTCGCTCATAATTTTGCTGCCGTACCGTGAAGTCAAGCCTTCTCTTTTAGGGATAGCCAATCAAAATACGCTTTGAAAGGTATGGAGTAAATATTCATATATTGTCAGAATCTTGTTCCCATATACATTACATTTATTTCTTGGCTTTGATGACCTCAGTTATGTCCTTTAAAAGGTCTTTTTCCCTGATAAGTTCCTCTTCCTAAGTTTAACATGACTCACCTCTCCGCTAAATTTTACTTTAGGTATCAGTTTCTTCCTCCACTCCCGAACAAATCCAAAACGAGGTCTTCTTTCAGCAGCGATTGTGCGTAAGCTCCATACCGAATTACTTCTTGAGTAATACATCGCGATCTTTCATTCACCACCCGTCCGTACTGTTATAGTTCCTTTTTTAGCTCATGAAAGAGACCGAACTCTTTCAAACCATCATGAATCTTACAAAACGTGATACCGCTTCTGCATATCAGTGATGCAGTAAATTGAATTCTATTGAAAGCCAAGACAAACCCACCAATTCAAAGCTACATTATTCAGCATAAAGGCGAAAAATTCATTACACCGAATCATTTTACATTACGGATAAAACACGCCTTATCTATTGGGAAAGGGAAATATAATAGTAATGATGTTGTAGGGCTTCTGTACAGGTCGCAAGTGAAAACATGCATCAAAAATCCACCGCCATAGTGCGTTGTTCCAACGGTACCCAAGCATCTTCCTCTGGTGAGTAACAGTAATTTACATCTTCCACAAAAAGGAAATAGGGACACGAATCACCCTCCACAATCATTGATGTCCAAGGCTTCTGTTCCAAACTATCATCTTCAAACTTCGCCACAAAGGGCTCGCTGGGATTGAGAGAAGAGAAACCAGGTCTTACCTTCGATTGTCTCTTGACTTTCGGCTTACAAACAGGCATTTGTGGTCGAATAGCCCTAGGTGGTGGTGGGGGTAGAGATTGGAAACTCCTTTGGACCTGCTGGTGCTCAGGTAGTTTGGGCGCGATTGGGACATAGTTACTAGTGGCGGCGTTTGGAAGAGCTGTAGTATTTTGAATTGGTTGGAGGACATACCCCACCAATGGTTGACCCTCAATCACTCCATTATTTCCCTTTTGTCCCGAGGTCGAGATGAGTTGGAGTTGACCATTACCAGCGTCCGCTAGCATGACATCCTTAGGTAGGGTAACAATTTGGCTAGGAGTTTGACTGACCCCTCCCAATGCTTGCTTCAAAATAACTGGTTGGGGGTTAGTAGATGGGAGGATGGAGATAGGATTTCCTCCAATTGGAGTGATTATTTGAGCAGTTTTCGGAGTTCCGGGGACAGAGGGTGAAGGATTTTGCCTACGTATAATATTTTCAACTGCTTTGGCGATGGTGATTCTTTCATTAGCAGTAACATAATTCTCATTGGAACGCACTGTATTCGAACTGAGTGAAGCCAGTGGCGAAACCCCGCCTTGCTTCCAAATCTCAACAAGAGCTTCTAATTCACCGAGATGTTTATGAAAATCTGGAACGGAGTCCGTAGTTGCAATCTCCGCTATACACCGAAGGTAGGGCGCAATCTTTACTCCGCGAGCTTTTTTGGTTCGTGCTGCAAGCCTATCCTTAGCCGCGGCCTTTCGTTCCGTAATTGTTCGTGGAATCCTTCCCTCTGAATTAATGGATAATGAAAATGGTTATAGGTAAACAAACCTGAACTATCCATAGACGTTTCAAATCTGGTGGGATGATCAACGATATCGTCTAAAACGCCCTGCACATCTAGAAAAGAAGTTTAATATGTCAGGACAAAAATTACCATCACTAATCATTAAATCATCTTTTCCAGCTTGTTGCACCTGAAGTCTACGAATTTTCTGATCGATAACGATTTCTTCAGGCAGTTGAGTATGGTTATGAACCATATGATACTTGGCTATATACAGCTTGCTATTCATGGCAGATAAATTTATTCGAGAACCACATGATGCGCGAGAGGTTCTAAGGAAGCACAATTTTTCGGAACAGCATTATTTACCTTAGAGTGCGCTTCGAAGCCGGTACATCTTGACAAACTCCGTGATGATAACACGTGTAGTTTAGAGAACTGTAGACGAGTCTGCCTCTGTCAGGATGGCTATGGGGAAGAAACTTTGAGCTAGTTATGATGTAAATTGTCCCAGTTAGCTAGAAAATGACGAATAAATGGTAACGAATTACCTTTTCGAACTCCCTCAATTGGCTGTGGAATTCCTCAAAGGATGTAAATTTTTGTTGGAAAAAAGCGGTAAGAAACTCAGTACTAGTGTCCATAAATAAATTTAAACCAGCAAGTTATGTGTCAATGTTTATAAAAGCCTCTTTACTATGCCTCAAATTTTCATGTACAAGAACAGTAGGCAATTGAAAAGTGGCAAAAAAGCCCTCGGGTCAGAAAACGCTTTAATTTTCAATATGGCTCTCAAAATTAGTGGCTTTCCTGAAAGCTAATTGGTAAAATAACCTGAACATATGTCTACTTTGAATGTTATTATTTCAACAAATACTTTTTCAAATTTTATATAAAAATTATAAATAAATTTTATTAAATTGTTTTGAATCAAACATTCTAATATATTGTATGCGTTTAGTGATAATTTCCAATATGTCCAACTCTGTATTGGGTGCTCTCCAAGATTATGTTTGCAATACATAAAAAAGTTCCTCTGACAATTTCTTTGGTTGATATATTGCTGTAAATACTAGATAGTTAATTTGTTATATGGATCCAAAAGAGAACTCACGTTTATTGCCATTATAAGCAACTTTTCATAATGTTGTAAACTATTACACTTAGAAACCTACATTTAAAGTTATGTTAACTCTTTTAACGATATAATCAGATCGGTTGTATTACTCAGTATATTTTATTGGAAGAGGAAATAGTTAGTTTCCTTAGATCAATATATTTTGTTCTAGACCTCTTGGTTCTTAATTTTTAATGAAAGCGTACTTTGCCTATCTCATTTCTGGTCAAATATAACTGAATTTCATTTTTGCTTTACACATTTCCCATTTACAACTACTCCGTTAAATGTATTTTTTCACCGATAATCAGTTCGTTTAACTTCTCACGAAGTTTATGCTAGAATAACCCACTTTCTATTTTGCAGGTAATTTATTTGTGTTTTTTTGCAGATTGGTATTGGAGTAGCTCTAATTCAGATGCTAAAACTTTCCTCAGATCTCCATCGTGTTAAACTTGATGTTTCTTCTTAGAATGAAAATTCACCCTAGATCTAAAAAAATTGGAGAACTTTCCTGATTGAGAAGATTAAGAGTTTAATAGGAACACATGACAACTGGACAATTAACATGGAGTGAATAGCCAATGAAGCAAGGGTAGGGAAGTAAAATATGGGGGAAGTGTACCCTACCGAACTGAGTAGGGACCAAGAAAAATAATGAAGTATAGGTCTATTGCAGACTTAACCTCATTTGTCAGAGATATGGGCCAGCATGTTCGAAATACACAGAGACTGGGCAGCTTTCCAAGTCCACGTGTGTTGGTATAACAATATACTGTTCGTAAGTTGTGACCTAGTCGCAATTATAGTGCCGATAAAGTACTTATTGTATCATGGCCACAATGAAATTCTTTATGACGCATTTACAAACAAATTATATTCGGTGAATTTCTGACTTTCTCCTTACGGTCAGAATATCATTATAGTTAATGTCCTTCTACTTTGAAATGAGTGAAAACCACTGGAGCATCTAGGTCGTAGTTCTTCAATTAATTGTGTCTATTATTTGCTACCGACCTCCTCATTAACTAAAAATTGATTTGTGGTATGTGTTTGTCCTTTATTGACCATTTTTATCGGTTAAGTTAGCATTTTTGGGCGGAGTAAACCGGGCAGAACATGACATGGGTTTGGGGTGAGAGTTCAATATACCCTGGCAAACTCAAGTTCAAACTCGTTTCTTGACCGCTATCAACTTTAAGTTTGCACTTTTTACTTTTACAGTCGAATAATCTCAATTTGATATTCCGTGGGTACTTTTCTTCATTAATATACTATAATGCTTCTATATTTTTAATACCATCAGCTAAGTATGCTATCGGCATGATGATTGTCATATTGAAGATGACTTCAATCCACAAAAGATATAGTAGATTCCTCGAGTTTATAATTATGGTTCGTTATATTTGACACTTTTTATAATGCAAAAAGGCATATAGTAGGGATGATATGAATGCTCGTCTATCACAGAGAAAGAAGGAAAAGAGCGAAAAATCTCAGTGAAATTGAAAATTAGAATTTCGATTCGTCAAAAATAGTCCTATTTTTGTTGGTTAGGCTACCTCAATAGTCCGACCAAATTGGGCTAGTTATCCCAAAGACAAACAAGATGCAACAGCCTTATCGAATTGAAAAGACCACACATGCGCTGAGTACAAGCAAAGAATGCGCGAAAAAGAAACATTTAAATAGGAAAAGGGGTTTATGAGCATTATGGCAAACCATAGTGCGGTAATATGGGCTGACTGTTTCACGCTCTTTCCTCGTTTGCTGAGCAACTAATGTAATACGAGACAGCAAGTGAGTTCAGTAGACGGGGTGTGCGATAGACTTACCTCCACATTGGTGCACCCTGGGCAACGTATACTCATACGGCAAAAAAACCTATTTTCGGCAGTTGACTTCTCGCTTCAAACTACCATCACCCTACTGTATGTCATATTCGACTACTTCCATAGTACTCACTTTACCTTTTTTCTATCTTCGTCTTTTTAACACTCTTCTGTTCCCCCTCCCCCCCACCCCGTCTCGACTTTTTTTCACTTCGATGTTCCTTCCCTTTTGTGAAGTCTGAAGTCAAGGGCTAATGACAACCATCAAAACGCCTACCATTTAATATAAATGAATAAAGTTTAATAGACCGCAGCAAGTGAAACTTGCTCTCGAAGCTAAGAAATGCTCAAAAAGGGCGTCATAATTTCATGCTTTAACGCTTTTAATTCCATATATAAGTGGGAAAATTCGAATAACATTGTGTAGGAAGTCCCTTAAAAGGCATATTGGATTGGCCTGAATAACCTATCAAACGGGTTTTAAGTGGAAGTTTTAGAAATCGTCAAGAAATGTTCTTTTAAAGTAGTAGACTCCTAAGAACAATTATAGTTGATTGATTAGTTTAAAAAACGCGGCATTTCTTGCAATTGTATAGGAATCGATAGTTGGCACAAGTTAATAATGAAGACATGTTCATTTGGACAAACGGTAATGTCCGAGTTCTCAGAGTAGGACCACTTGATAAATTTCAATTGAACCTGGGTGTATATGATTAAGCGGGTTTGTTTTGAACCCTTTTTATCAGCTATTTAATCTTGACTAGGCAGTTAATTCCCGAGATCTTCAAGCGTTTTGCACATAGTGCTCAACTCGTTAAAGTATCACGTATAAAGTTCGTTCAGAGAACCCATAGCCCCCCTCATTGCCATATTTACCGATATGACAAAAAAGGAAATTGGAAACATCTCAAACCCAAAATCAACTTTCTTCAAAACACCAGTTGTGACGACTGATGCTTCAAAACTTCATTTCTTGATCTTATTTGAGATCACTTGGTAAGATTGTAGTTTTCAAGACTTTTGTGTGTGTGCGTGTGTAAAAATTGAAGTTGTAAGTAAATTTTCCGGAGCAAGTTTTGCATTTAATCAACTTCATCTTAATTAACAATGTTGTTCAACTCCACTTAACTACAGAAGAAATCGCAAACCGAACTGCGTTAGCAGCAATGCCTATGATTTGCTATTAAACTCTCTTGTAAATGTTTGCGTATGTGGCAAGTAACTTAATGGTCGCCGTGGTGGTGGTGGTAAGTTCCTTTGCATGCATCTCCTAGCTGCTTACCTGACCTTAGGAAGGTGCACAAATGAACCGAAGTCGGTATTGACCAACTGATCGACAAGCTCTGAATGTTGTGTGCATGAATTCGTTCAGAAATCTTTGGATTAATCTATGAACATTTGGACATGACCTTGCGAATTACAACCCTTTTGACAAATCAGATAATTCGGAATAGCTAGAAAGCAAAGTAATTGTAATTATTGCCTTTCTCAGTTCCCTGATTCGTATCTTACTGGACTATTCCCTTTCTTTGATATTTACAGGGGAAACAAGAATGTTCATAGCTGACAATACATGTCAACCGATTAATTCCTCAACAAGGCAACTACTTGCTACCTAGGACTTGGAAGCAATTTAGGATATAGGAAACACTAACCGATATGGTGGTAATTGCCCGAACGCGGAGCAATGGAAGACAAACACATCGAGCTGTACTCGTCTAATGTTCCGTTGAAGCGGGAGGATAGCAGATACTGCAACCAGATGGTCCTTCCCATCCTATATACACTCGTAGGTTCTTAGACCCTTTTAAATCACTCTACCTATAAGGTATTCACAGACAAACTCACCGACTAAAATTTCGACGATTATTGTACGTCAATAACTCAGATTTCAAACGTCGCCTGCCTGGTAAGTCCCCTAAACGTGTCACTTTCATTAGATTGACTGAAGCACCCACCGCATTATCCCATTCGTTTTCCGTAAGAAATTTAATAGGCATGAAAACAATGATGACTACTCATTGCTGGAGTGGAGGGCAAAAACTCGTCGAAACGTGAATATGATAAAACGGAATAACACAGCCTGATAAGTTCATTACAAAAACTAAACTTAGTGAAAAACACAAAAGCAAAACTCACCAATTCATGCACTTTATGATCATGTAAAATTCAACAGGTATTACACTGAGGAGAATAAGAGGGGTGGGGGAGCAAAAGGGAGACATTCTTATTACGAATGCTGAAGAGGAGTGTGGGGTAGAATATGACACAATGCTGTACTTGTGTGTAGAACACAAAACACCCCCAAGTGAGCATTCTTACGCACAATTTGAGTGAGCTTGTGTAACATACACAATATTGCATGGAAAAAAGAAGAGACATCATGCAACGCCAAAGGGTGCAGAGAGGTGATGGATTGTCAAGGTTGTAGTAGCAAAGGACATAGGAGTATTAATATTAGTAGTAGGGGGTAACGAGATGGCAGTGCCGGTTTTTTGAGAAACGACTGTGAAAACGATAAAAAAGCGACTTAGTGTATTAGACAACTACTGAAAGGGGAGGGGTGGAAATTTGTAGTGCAAGACGCACACAAAACAATGCCTGTTGAACGGGGAAGATGGGTAGAGTAATTCGACGGATGGACGGATTAACGGACATCTCACCCAGTTTATTCGCTGCTACCTTCAGCAGCAACAGCCTTAACTGAGGCTTCTTCACCGTTTGTTCCTTCCATGTTTCCCGATTGTTTCTCATTCAATGACAAATGTTCCATTTTGGACTCCAAATTGTCCGCTAAAAGTAGAAATGTAACCAGTTACCGCTTAAATTAAACCCATGCCCATGCACACTTTGTAAGCGTCAGTAGGTTCTGTGACCAGAAAATTACACCCTTCGTGATGATTTATTAAGGCAGAATGAAAATAATAAGCAATTAAATTAGGAAAACGATTAGGCCTTACTAAAGGCTTCAGCCACTTCGATCAGTTTTGGCTCGTGTGCTAGAACAGGCAAGAATGTGATGATAGCAAATAAAATAGATCTCAAACTGTGTAAGATCAAGCAGTTAATATCTTGCTTTCTTAAGCTAACTAAATTAAGTTAGATTTATCTCATTTATCCATCAAGTTTCGAATAAGTGCTTGACCTCAAGTTAGGAGAGAGGAGATAAGCAACAAAATAAAAAAAATAGGCCGGCATGACAAATAGAGAATAAAAGCTCGAAACTACCTGAAGATTGAGTCACTTCATTCAATTTGGTTTGTTCAGGAGCTGAAATGGAGAGTAAGACCAGGACGGTAGATGACGCGAATTGGCTCAAAAGTTAGTGAAACTGGATTAGAAGCAGAAATTTTGGAAATTGAAAGTTAATTCAATTTAGGATTTTAACTACTTATTTTAAACTGAGTTGACTCAAAGCGCATGAACTTGATCGGATCATCCTAACATACGAAGACGACCTTTCGTCTTCTTATATGTGCAATCTTCATATGGAAAGCGGGATGAGGAAATCAAACTACACCAGCGACTACTTTTATGCGTAATCAGCCACGATTATACTTTAGATGAAATGCACAAGCTAGTAGGAAAATAATTAGAAAAGCGCATTAATAAAATTATTAATTTCTAAGGCAAATGCGCAAGGAGTGTGGTTTAAGTGCGTATTCATTAGAAGCCCATTTTCTATTTGACAATAGCCAAGCACTTCATCTACAACTTCTAGCAACGTTGCGGTATAATCAGTGATGAAACTGAGAGTAGGGGAAAAAAGTTTGAGGGGGGGGGGGAAGAAAAATCATGAGAGATGAAATGATCGCATGCTCAAAAGCGAAAGGGAACACAAAAAAATATTCGGATAGACTTGAAGTCGATTACAAAAAAGAGGAACTAAACGTTAATTACCTGAAGATGAATTCCCTTCAAGCTGTTTTGCTTCGATTTTCGTGCCATGAGCAACTAGAGCACAGTGAACTAGTTTCATAAGTAAAAATAAACACCACTGGAAGCATAATAAGGGTAGACATACCATTATTTTCATCAGCTCCTTCACCACCGTCACCCCTTTGTGGTCCACCACCGTTTCGTGCAGCACCGCGGCGGAATCTGCCACCTCCACGACGGCCACCACGTCCACCTCGACGAGCTGGCGGCCGAAATTCTTCGGCACCAGCATCGCTTTCTTCACCCTCTACATTAGTTGCTCCAGCTTGTCTAGTGCTGGTGGAACGTGGACGGCCACCACCGCGACCACCACGGTAACGACGTTGACGCTGTTGCCGGGGTGGACGAGAATTGCCCTCACCTTCACCGGTTTGTTCACCTGCCTCCGTGTTGCCAAACTCACCACCATCGCCATTTTGGCTCTAAATACAAAAGCATGAAATCACAAGAGATAGTCAAAAGCATCACTACAAGGTATTTTGAATACAAATAGAGCTTCATAAAAAGCTAGCTGGCTATTGGCTCTGTAACTTGACTTGCCGCTGGTTCAACCTACTCAAATTTAGTTCAGTACATTGTCTCACGCCCTCGTTCGTAACACAAGTTACAAATATGATATTTGTAAGGACAAAGTGCGAATCATCACAACGACAGCACTTAGTTACAAGGAGATAAAAAGCATCCTGGTGCATTTTCATCAGAAATTCGAATGACACATTTTGGCTGACCAGGATGGTGTTAATTCATGTCAGTCACATTTATGCATTTATTAACATCCCGGAACGTGATATAAACACTTGGTTCATACATATTGAATAGAAGTAAACCACACGTTGACAAAGTTCTCGAAAATAAAAGGTATTAGAAATGATCTATCGAAATGGTAGATAAAGTAGGCTCTAAATTTTTTCTTCGGTGAACAGCAATCAAAGTATTTTCAGTATTAAGAACTTGCACCAAAAAATAAGAGAAAACCAAGGCACAAAAAGTGTTGAGATGGAAATAACCTCCGAGATTTTAATTTTCAGACGTTCCAAACCTAAATGACAACAACATACCTTTTTGCATCACCTGGCACATCAACGAAATCGTTTCAGCAAATATTGCGTCGATCATATTACTTCACATGAACAAATTTGGGTTAATTCAAAAGTTCAATAACAACAAAAGGAGAACATAAAAATACTCATTTCATCAGAAGATATTAAATATTATATTTTCGCTTTGACGATCCCTTGTCAAGGGATTTGCCACAAATTAGATTCCATTGAATTTACGCTGTTTAATTTTCCTATTTCGGTGTGGCTATTCAATAAATCAATATATTCTTGCATTATTCAATTGCTCAAACTCATTTTCCATTTAATTCTCCTTTACAAGGCTTAATTCGAGCAGTACCAATACATTGCGAAATTGAATCCACTCAATGGGGCATATTTAGCAGTAATATAATAAAAGCATTCTTGAAGAAGAGAATAGAGGAATCGAATTGCAAAGCAGAACGCATATAGATTTCAAGCAATATCAACTCATTTTTCAAGGAATGTTATAAGGCAAATTAGAATGCGAACCAAATGGCTCATTAACTACAGCTGTCAGGATAAAATTGACACAGTTGAATGACGCCTGAAAAATAAAGACAATCACAATCACAATAACGAATAACTGAATATATTGATAAAACATGTTGAAAAAGGCAATCTCACGTGAAAGATACGAAAGTTAAAAACAAAACACAGTAATGCACCAAAATTCTGGAATGTGTTATAAATCAACAAAAATACTTGATTTCTTTTAAAAGTGTACGAGATTGATCACAAAATAGGCTTCTTAAATGGCTTCAGCGAGACAGCGGGCATAGAGCTTTACAATTGCCTAGAAGCTACTGTGACAAACAAATTCATTACACTACCATAGAAGCTTATTTTAATCTTTTGAGATATTGCAAAAGAAGCATAATTCGAACCTCAAATCACAACAAGCACTGCATTCACATTTTAACAGAATTCTTCCTTGTTCTACTACGCTATGCAAATACGCTGTAATCGGATTCAATTTATTGTATACTTAACTTGTGAAAGGCAGCAGCATCCTAGTAAACTTTTGAGGGGATAACGGATTTCATAAGGAGGTATTTATGAAGCTTAATCAGCTATTAGAACGAGTTGTCGAAAATGTTCAAACCACGCGAACGCCTTAATTTTGAAACTTTTGAAATATGTACGGTCGTCACTTCGAATGGATAATTAATAACTAACATGAAAGAGCACTTTTACATCGGCTTTAACAAACATAATCACAAACCAGTAAATCCAGTTAAGGCAAAACAATCGATTTCTTTTCCAAATTAACTTCAGATGTGCAAAAAGTAATTATGCAGTGGGCATACATGAGCCCCCCCCCCCCCCCCCCCCCCCACTCTATGCTTCGCGTCCATCGCACCTCGCAATGCGAGATTAAGTGACATCAATGTGCAGCACAAGTAAGTAACCAATAGTAAGCAAGCTTAGCCAGAGGTAACGCAAAAACATTGCCCTTCCAACAGTAACAGCAAAATTTTGTCCGCATACCATGGATTACGAAATTTAAGCCGACCCAAACACAACAATCAGCAAAGAATTTCTGAAACTATCGAAAAGCCTTTGAGGTCATTCGATAGGAAGTGAGAGGTAATCAAGTCCTGGGTGAATAAGGTCAAAGCGATAAAATGTATAGCACAAAGTTAATGTTAACACACCCACATACACACACAGAGAGAAAATGCGAGGACGAATAGACAGATGGATGTGACTAGTGAAATAAACAACACTTCAGGGAGCCGAGAACTTAATAGACAGGAAAGTAACTTACAGGACCACGGTAATTTCGGCGACCACGACGCATTCTACTACCACCACGCCCAAATCGACTTCCCTCAACATCACCACTGGCTTGGGAAGCACCACCATTCATGCTCGAATGACCGTCCCCACCGTTAGCTTGAGACGACCTGTAACGACGACGAAAGAAACGGATGCCCTATTTTGAGAAACGAAAAGCAAAAAAAATTTACGAAAATATGCGCATATATACTAGTGAAGAAAATCATAATTGCCCATTCAATTTTAAAGAAACTGCCACCAACCAATCGCCCCAGGGGTTACTCAAATTAATAGGCAACGAACCAACCCACCTTTTAAAACATTATCATTGACTTAAATTGAATAGGTCTCTACTTTGTCACCGAATAGGATAAATATAGTTTACCCTTGACCAATTATTTTAGAATATTCTTATATAAATTGCGATAAAATGATTGAAAGTTTGGCTGATATGAAAGCGAAAACGAGTAAAATAACTAAAGCTGGAAAGAAAATGCGTATCGTGGTAGAGAACATTCTTTAAGTTCACACCAATATACAAACAAACGAACGGTCCTCAAAAAAAACGTGATTTGTTTAAAGCCGAACTTAACATCATGAGGTTGTGTATAGGCGACATATGCATATGGAGACTCATGATTTAGTAATCTAAAATATCTCGGGATTACTCAAGGAGTACACCTCAAAACGGCCACAATGTGAAAAAGCCGCTGCATGTGAAATTCGTATTATGCAAAATAATTAGTCATAAGTGCCCACAATGATAAGAATGAGTTTGAGAAAAGAAAATAAAACAAGTTAGTATAGAGATATCCTAAAGAAACCAACCTGGACATTTTGGCCATTAGGACCGGTAACTGAAGCAGCATTAATGCCACTTGGAGTCTCGACAACATTGAATTCAACACTTTCCCCATTTTTGAGATTAGGGTAACGGAGTTTCGAGGCAGTGATGGCAGTTCGATGAACAAAAACATCTTCCTTATTGTCATCGCGTTGAATGAAACCGTAATGGCGGTTTATGCTGAACCATTTTACAGTTCCAGAAACCTTCTCAGCTACAAAGAAAATTAAATTTACTGTTAAAGTGGCACCAATAGCAGATATATTAGTTTCCACACCATATTATAGATAGGGCATTAGTCAGATTACAAGAAACAGCAAGTGAAACCACAACCCGACAATCAGTAAACTTCCATATAACTTAAAACACTACGTTTATAGTTGGTAATAGGATGGCTTATGTGCTAATTCTGAAATGAAACCACTCTGTGGAACCAGTTGCACAGGCGAAATGAAGTAAACCGATTATATGCAACGTACCAAGGATGTTAAGAATATCGAAATTCTTCTTTTCGACAACGGCTTGATGTTCCGCAGTAGGTTGAGCTACTTCAGCAGTCATTTATGGTACGTAACCGAATCACGCAATTTCTCAAGCTTTTCGCGACTGGCGTATTAAGGCTAAGAGTTTGAAGGGCCAAATTTGATTGGCTCGAGATCCTTTGTTTTACAAAACCGAATAAATTGATTAACGACAGAATTCTAAGTGCTAAATAGGCACAAAATTGAGTTAATTGTGAATAAAGTCATATTTTTGTTATAAATATAATTAATATATATTTACCAAAAAGATTTTCAACATTAGCCACGTGAGAAAATGTATCCAGTTATTGCTCTTTAATTTCGCACATTTCAGTTACATTTATCCCTACTTTTATCAATAATTTACCTAATACTAAACCTTGTGGATTTCTCTATTTTCTTTTACAATTCGGGCAAAATAGATTAACATAAAAGTCTATTTTATTCATATGCAATTGTTATATATATAATTATATAATATTATGATGTGTTCGAGGTGCCAGAGACTTCATTTGCGGCCCTACAAATGGATTTCGTTATTGGAAACTGTAGATTAGGGTATTTAGTAACATTAAAATCGAGTTTTCTACGATATGCATTACTTGATCGATTCAAGTTTGGAAGGCCAGTGGCCACAAGCGATTCATCAAGTAAAGTTTGACGATCTATGTCGTTTTATGTAATTCATTCACACTAGAAAACATTTTAAACATTTGGGAAAGAATTTTTTAGGAAATAGGCAAGACAAGCAGGATGAGAATCTTGAAATAAACGTAATCACTAGAGGCCAACCACCTCCCACCACTCCATCTTCAACGTTTTCAATAAAAGAAATTATTGAAGCAATGTAATCAAGTGAGAGAAAAAAGTAAACTTGAAATTCAATTTAAAATTATGAAAGTTTTTAGGAAACGGAATTTCAAGACGCCTAAGATTAATTCAATCCCGCTTTACTTTTCTGCGGAAATAGATCATTACTCCTATAGGATTTGAAATTATAATTAAGGTTCTTTGAATTTTACTACCCCAGGCACTGTCTGCTATACAGATTACTGTAAAACTTTTCATGTAATTTTTTCTTGCGAGAAAGTTTCTTGATTTTCACTGTTTTAGCCGCTTCTTTAAAAGGCCTTTCATTCAGTTTTTGTTATGCATTTTCGTATTGTCTTTATGCTAACCAAAATTCCTTGAATAATAATGGAGAACGATCAAATAGCTTAGAAAAAATGGATATTGATAACACTACGTAATTTGAAAAAGCTGTTGTATTTGATTAACTTATATAGAAACAATTTCCTAAATTGTCATATTTCTAGGATTATATTGTTACGACTAAGACTAAACCGATCGAAGCTCGACCATGCTCAATGATTCACTTTGGTAACACGTTTTTTTAAGTATCTTAACGAATAGGGAATATTTTTGATATTGGTAAGAAAAACGTTATATTTAATCGAATCTTATTGAAAATCCAAGTCTAGAGCGACAATTTTCCCTTTGCTTAGGAGCAATAATTTCGAGATATTTCAAAGTTGAAAATTAAGCAATGAGCTAAAAATGTATATTTAAAAAATTGTTTATGACAAAATAGATCCTTTATTTAATTTAGCTTTGCTTACATTTCTTAATTTTTATTAATAAGAACATAAGACAGTATTTATGCCGCAGACTTGATATAATCCGAATTTTTGGAAAAATTTAGCTCTAAACTGAATCTTTAAGCCAATAAAATCAACTTACGAAGGAAAGTATATTAATGCATATAAATTACAATTTAATTAACGATACACTTACTCCATACCATAGAGGTTAGAAAAATCAATGAAAAGTATATATATTTGAATGATTGTGAGATATTGGTATTAACGATAGGGTGTCGTATATCAGATTTTAATAAATAATGCATTAAAATTGAAAAATTAACAACCATACAAAACTTAAACATTCTCAAAATGTCCAGGTGAATTTGGACATAGTAAGATTTTATATATTTTACTTGAATGAAATTTTGCTCAATGATTGGTTGTCAATTGTCTTACCATATTTTATAATGTGAAGCCAAATTTCATCGCTTTATGAAGATTTTTGTATTTGGTGCAAAATTTTTAAAGGATAATGGTAAATCTATAAATTCATTTAAAATGACCATTTAACCTAGTGATGAGGCTCGAAAAATTGGTATGGCAAAATATTTTGCAGAAATAACCCACTTTTACTTCTGATTAGTAAATCTTTCAGTGGTTATTGATAATCCATCTCTGTTTGCATTGTAACACTAATAAACTTTAATGACTTTTGCATATTTCTTTGACCTTTTAAAGGTCATATGGTCAGCGTCCGCCTTTCTAGCAGTTGGTCATGTCGCTTGAGGAGTCAACTGTTATTCGGGTTGGTTCGAGGAAAAGTCAGCTTGCTCTTCTACAGACAGATATAATCATCAACCTTCTTCGAACTTACTATCCAGATTACAAATTTGAGATTGTAAAGATCTCCACGACCGGTGATAAAATACTCGATAAGGCTCTGTCAAAAATTGGTGATAAGAATCTCTTCACCAAGGAACTTGAAGCAGCCTTATTAAGCAATGAAGTCGATTTCGTTGTCCATTCTCTCAAGGATGTGCCAACTGTTATGCCAGAGGGTCTCGTCATAGGTTGTATAAGCTCCAGAGTTTCTCCATTTGATGTAGTTTTAATGAATCCGGCGAATCGCGGTAAAACTCTGAAGGATCTCCCATCGAATTCAGTCATTGGAACAAGTGCTCTTCGGAGAATTGCCGTTCTCAAACGCAAATTTCCAGATCTCTGCTTTAAGTCTGTTCGTGGCAATTTGAGTACACGTCTTCAGAAATTGGACTCTTCTATAGAGAATGGTGCTAATGAAAACGGTGCCACTCAGAAATACAGTGCTCTAATCTTGGCTGAAGCTGGTGTCGTGAGAGTCGGATGGGAATCTCGAATTGATGAGGTTTTAAATTTTGATTTTTCTATTTGTCTTTATATATTGTGGTTTTCCTACCAATTCAACCGTTTTTAGCATCTTTTCGTCCTAAGACTAAGCATCTCACGTAATCTATGTCTTTTTATCGAAATGATAAGTTTTGATTTTAAGGCAGTTGTGAATCTCTTAGTCTTGTTAATCTTGAGCTTTATTTGGTAGATAGGTAGTAGATTCATAACTTATGGGAATCCCATTTTTCAGACTCGTATTGATAATAATGGCCAGTTATGCCTGCAGCTACAATCAGAAAATTTAGGAAATCATTTTTATAAAGTAAATCTCCATCTTGAAAGAATGCCTACAACTTTTTAAAAAGAAATTTTGGGAGTTTTCACATTGAATTGAATTTTAACGTTGAGGATAACATGTTTATTTGTCACGTTTCAGTCTCACTAGTCTTTGGCTATTCCTGTCATCTCTCACTTCTGCGTCATCTTTAAGAGCATCTTTCATCATCTCTCTTTAGTACCTTGATCGTGATCGTTACGCTGTTGGGCAGGGGGCCCTTGCCTGCGAGTGTCGGTTGGGAGATACTCGGATACAGTCCCTTCTCTCCACAATTCACAACGAGGCACCAGCGTTGGCTTGCATTGCTGAACGGGCGTTTATGTCTAGACTGGAAGGTGGCTGCAGCACTCCTATCGCAGTGCGAACTTACCTCAATCCTGGTGGCGTTGCTGGCATTAAAGGTAACTTTAAAAATCGATTTTTATGCCATTCAAATAACTAAAGGGTTGGAGGTTTCAGAATTTTCTCCTGTTTATCATTCATGTGATAGCATTGGTTTGACTGCTTCGGGTGTTTATTAAAGTTTTCCTTGTGCGACTTCAACTAGTGAAGTGGATGGAGATCTACGCTGGTTAATACAAATCAAAGAGGGGAGTGGTGGAATATGAGTCCCTCTGTCTGAGTCAAATACTGATAGTATAAGAATTATTTGTATCCGCCGTGTTTTATCCTTCAGCATCTAATCGTATTAATTCTTAATTTTTGTATTTAAGTATTTATTCATTTTGTATTTATTTTTTATTTAAATAATTCTCTACTTTTAGCTTATTTTAATTTGGACAAGATTATTGTCCTTTATATCTGCTATAAATGATTGAAAAAAAGATTGATGATTGTTCTTTATTTACATCTGTAACCTGTTGAAGTAGTTAGTGAGTAGATTTAACCAAATGTAAGTTTTCATAGAAGTGGTTTTTTCCATTGTCGCGTATTTCTCGAAAAGAAAATAATTTTAATTTGTTTGAGAAAATGCTATGACGTCAAATTGGAATAAGTTTAAAGATTAGGTGGTGGTTTCACTGCTGTGTTCGCTGTTCCCGAGCTATTGCCGGTGCGGTTTTAGTTCCATTAATTGAAACTTAATGTTCAAAATGTGAACAAGTCTATATTGTTGGGGGGCTACTTTCTTAATTGTAATTTGAGCTAAACATATTACAACTGTTTAAGTAATCGTAACTTTGCAGTATTGTTTAGCTGAACAACAATTTTCCTGTACTTGGGTGTGGGATAGACACCTCCACGTGGGGCACCCTGAGCAACGTATACTCATAAGGCAAAAAAGTCTATTAACTGGCAGTTGACTTCTGACTTCAAACTACCATCACCCCACTGTATGTTATATTCCACCACTTTCACAGTACTCATGCTATCTTTTTCTCTACCTTGTGTCTGTCTCTTATGCATCTGTGAATCGCTCTTCTGTTCCCCACCCCTAGACTTTCTGCTACTTTGATGAACCTTCCCTCTGTGAAGCCCGAAGTCAGCTAAATGGCTATTGATAGCTATCGAAACGCATGCCATTTGAAATAAATATTTTCCTGTTCTTGGAGGAAAAAAATTGATCATGAAAGGAACACACTATCTCCACTTTGTTTGCTTTCTTCTTCATGTAATCCTTCTCGCAGTCGTATTCTCTAGACCTATCATTCTGGTTCATTCTAGTCATTGCCTATGCGAAGATCGGTAAAACGTCTAATGATGGCGTCTTATTTTATTTTTCTCTTCTCATAGGCGACGACTCAGTAAAAGCTCGAACCATATCGCTAGATGCGGCTGTGCTTTCGTTGGATGGTACCAGATGTGTTGAGGGCAAGATGTCAACCGATCTTCCCTTCTTCATGCCCTGGGATTGCCCAAAACGGGCACGAAGAGATGAGT